TGCTTCTCTGTGGAGTAACTTCCTTTTAATAATTTCTTGGAAAACTAATTCTAAGCAAGCAATACAAAAAGCTTAACTGGTCTGTTAGATTCCCAAGTTCAGTATGTGTGTGTAACACATCCATATACCTTTGCACCACTTTCTCCTGGGCTGTATTATTGAAAAGTGGGTACCTCAGCCAAAGGCTAGGATCTAAACCAAATATTCTATCCTATAGAAACATACTTATCCCCTTTGGTGTTTGTTTTAATCATTGTTTTCTGGTAGCTTCCTAACCTCCTCTATTAATTCTTTCCCCAGAAACAAACCTATAGTAAACATCTTAAACTCATTTATGTATAATTTTTATTGTAATCACCTTCCTTAATAAGTGGCCCACTAATAATTATCCTATATGTGAATGCAATTGTGTTTGGTTTCCAATTTAACCCTGCTTCCCTCACTTTATGTTGTTGCCTATGCAACTGATTAATTTTCAGCCTTCAAATTCCCCACAGTGTGTGTTCATTTATATTAATGGTAAAGTAAAAAGCAAAGACTGTAAATTGAATCTGCACTTGAACACTATACAATTTTCCCAATTATGTGTACTCATCAAGGTCTCACTTGCATCAATTTGAGTTACCAGAACCATTTTTGCAACTGTTTCTCAAAATCCATTTTGCCAGTTTGTTAAATAAAGGAAATGATTTAGATAAGCATTCAATGCCTTCGTAGCTTAAAACAGATTAAACACAGTTCACTTTCTTCTGCCAGACTGAGTCCTGAAAGTATAGGAAAACCTGGATGTTTTGCAAAGGGATGATTTGCAACCCGCTTAATTAACAGCGAGATGTCAAACAAAGGATGAGCCACTCAACTGTTTGCTGCAGATTTTACATCAAAGGACACTATTTCTCCAATCAGCAGGACACCACCAAGATTCAGAACAGCAAAAACTGCAGCCAACAGCTTGGTTTACTTCTATTTTTCTACTTCAGATAAGCTACACAACATGGATCTCGCAAGCTCGTTTCTGACCACAGAGCACTATGCTCATCTTTGCTGTAATTACACCCACCAGCCAACTTGCACCAATGATGAATTTGATCCATAATTTCTAAATAAAGCCTACCTGACCGAGTCGGACAAATTCCGCTTGACGGGCCTCCTCCTTCTTCCGTGCTGATTTTGGGGACTCTGGTAATACATCACTGAAGGACCTCCGATTAAGCATGTTCTAAAATAGAAATCATTACCAAACCAAGCATTTTATCTTATTTTTCCCACAATTTAATTTGACGTTACCTGATTTTGCTATGTTCTTTCAACATTTTTCTGTTGCATAAACTTACCTTAATAGCAAAAGTAACTTTCCTCTGAGTGCAAATCTTCTGATAAAACCAAGAGCATGTAGTTTAACCTTTGCAGGTTCCTATGGCCAACCTTAATTCAACCTCACACCAGAGTTACAAAGAGGTTTAAAATACAGTTCCTTTACCAACACAGAACGTGCACAGCTAGAGGATTCCATTCATGGGGAAGGAAGGGACATCACAGAACCTGGGTATCACAGAATCATA